AATTAGAGTATATTAAATTGGATGGGGCCATAAAGGGGAGGTGTGGATAGGAGAGGGGATCTAAATATCAAAATATGTTGTATGAAAATTGCAAAAATTCAATTAAAGTATTTTAAAAATAAAATTATATAATTCGGATCATTAAATAAAATCAACGATAACCACCCAAAGAACAGTTCTTTGCAGGGAAAACAGAGTTGCTGTTGCATTGATGATATAAATTAGTGAATAAAACACTGAGACTCAAAGGGCATGCACCAAAAAAGATGATTGCATTTTCGGTAATGTGATTATTTCCCCTTCTCCCCATAGTTTATGTAACATGGTGTATCTCACTTTTATTTTTCGGAAAGTAAATTTCTAACAATGAAGTTGAAACTGTCATGAGTCACAGGTCTGGCTTGTTTCCCAGGTGGAGCCGCACTGGATCTGAAGGCCTGCCCTCCCAAGCCCTTTCGATGGATCCTTGACATGACATGGCTCAACCTGGTAGAGCTAAGTAAACTCCCTCAATTTTCAGAAATTATGAACCAGGTAAGAATGAAAAAAAAAAAGAGCTGATTAAAAGCACAAATCTGCAAACCAGAGTACACACTCTGATTGTTAATTTCTACCCCAAAGAGTAACTGCAAGAGTGTGGATTTAGGGGCTTGGAGAGATGGCTCAGCTCTTACAGAGGACCTAAGTTCAGTTCCCACCACCCACATGGCAACTCAAAACTGTCTGTAACTATCTAAGGGACCTGACTGCCCTCCGCAGGCACCAGGCATGCACATGGTATGCATACTTCCATGCAGGCAAAACACTCATACACATAAAAGCACAAAACTCCCAGATCTTTAAAAAGAAAAATAGAGTATGTGTTTAGACAGACATGGTGTCACATGCCTGTAATTCCGACTCTCAGGAGGCTGAGGCAGAAGGATCAAATGTTCAGGCCAGTCTGACCTACACAGTGAGACTTGGTCTTGAAAACAACAAACAAACATTGAAAGAGTGTGGCTGTCTGCGGGACGTTTGGACAGATGGACATCAGGAGCAGTCTTTACAAATGCCAGAAACTGATTTTACAAGGTCCTTTTGTGCCTATGTGTATACTGGTGGGGTGTGTATGGGTACATGTGTGTATACGTGAGTGTGCATGCACATGTGTACACATGAGTGTGGAGGCCAGAGATCAACCTCCGGTGTCATTCTCCTGGTGCTACCCCCCACCTTTATTTCAAGACCGGATCTTTTACTTGGCCTGGAACTCACCAAATAATCTAGACTGTCTGGCCAGAAAGCCCCAGAGATCTGCCTGCGTCTATCTCCTCCGTGCTGGGACTGCAAACACGTGCCACATCCTCAACTTTGTACATGGATGCTGGTAATTGAACTCGGGCTCATGATTGGTTGGCATGCCAACCACTTTATTGGCTCAGCCATCTCCCTAGCTCCAAGGGTCATTTGTATATACCTGCTTGAGTTGCTGGGGCTAGACCCTTTCATTAGAGTGAGCAGTGCTTTTACAGTTCTTACTTCTACCTATGATTACATCATTGGTTCAAATTTGAGTTTGAGACAAATTTAGAGGCTATTGCCCTTTAAAAATATATATCAATTATCTTAACACTGAAAATATAAAGTAGGTTGGGGGATGGCCCCGTAGTTAAGGTACTTGCCACCCACCTAAGAGAGTGGGGGTGGCAACCCACCCGTAATCCCAGCCTCAGAGGGCAGAGGACAGGATTCCCAGGGCAAGCTGGCTAGTGAGATTAGCCATATCAGCAAGCTCTGGGTTTGATCGAGAGACCCTGCCTCAGTGAAAAAGGTGAAAGGATGATGGAGGATGATTCTTGAGATCAACCTCAGACCTCAGCATGCATGTGCACACACAAGTAAAAAGATGCATACACACATGCACACACACACACATACACACACACACACATACACACACACACATGAAAAGTTGAAAAGAATAGAAAACTATTCTGAAGATGTAAATTGGTTGCTATGGCTTTTCTATTGATTCTGCTGTCACTGGAAGGCTAGGATGCACTGAAGAATGGAGTTGTTTGTTGCTGGAGTCTCCTGGTTGTGCCTGCCCAAACTGAACTCCCAGGTGGTCAACCAGGGACCAGCTGCAGCCTTCAGGATTAAGTGGGAAACCGAGAAGCATTTCACGCTGTGGATATGGCTCAATGGTAGAGTGCTTGCAGCCTGCACAAGGTCCTAGGTTTGATCCCCACCAGTGCAAAAAAAACAGGCAAACAAACAAGAGAAGGGTTTCAGAAACCTCCCTTCATCTCCTGTTGCTCTGGGGATGAGGTTGAAGCAAACAAATTGCAGAGTTAACGGTTTTGTCCATGACTTGCTTCCTGTCTGTATTGTCTGTGGTGAATTGTTCATAGAATGGGCAACTCTGAGTATTTTTTTTAACCTCTCTGTGCCCCACTAAAAGGACAGAAATGAGAGAGTGGTTCAGTCAATAAAGTACACACCATTCAAGTGTGAGGACCTGAGTTCTGGTCCACAGCATCCATGTAAACGTAGCTACTTGCAGTGACACATGCCTGTAATCCCAGTGCTGAGAAGGCAGGTACAGGAGGATCAGCGGAGCTCACTGGCCCACCACATGTAGCTGGAAAGGTCCAGGGAGAGCCCATCTCAAAATGTGAGGTGGAGAGAGATAGAGGAAGACACCTATGTGGACCTCCTGCCTGTGCAGGTGCGTGTACACGCAGACATGTACACACATACATGCAACACACAAACAGAGCGGGAGTGAGAGACCCTCACGAGAGAGAGAGAGAGAGAGAGAGAGAGAGAGAGAGAGAGAGAGAGAGAGGAAATGGAAGTACAAGCTTAATTGGTAGGTTTGTCCGGGTCGATCTACAGTGTGAACGTCTACTTTTCATAGGACTTTTAAAACACTAATGAACTCAGCCTGGTGGTTGCTGAGAATTAGTGGACAGGCTCAGCAGTGTACTGTGTGTAATTAGACTCAATGGCACTTGGGCAGTAGGGAGCATCTTTTAGTGCCTCTGGAACCCCGAGGTCTGCTGCATGCTCTCCAAAGAGCAGACGCTGAGACCCACTCTCAGAATTCTGCTGGCATCTTCAAGATCTCACTGGGAAAGTAAAAGTTCTGATTTGGGGCATATCTTGCTATTTTTGAAATGGAGATCCATGTTCAGGGGATTGGGTCCCAGAATGGCCCACATCCATGGTTCTTATGCAGGGCACGTGGTCATGTCTGGAGACAGTTTTCATTGTTCAAAATCAAAGGAAAGGATACTACTGGCATCTAGTGGGTAGAGGTGAGAGATGCCGCTGAACCTGCTATTGGTTCCCTAGCAATTAGGGTCAGAGCCTGTGTGCTGGTCACTCTAGCCTGTCCTCAATAAGCCAATTAAAGAGATACATTAACAACAAAAAGCAGGAAAAGGAGATGAATTCAACGTGGCCACACTGAAGAGAGAAAAAGAAATCCAGTGAGCCCTGCCCCAAGTCTGCCTTTGGGGGTTCTGACATGAAGGTTAGGTTTAAGCAGAAGTCAAGAGGCATACATAGCTAAGCAGCCTTGGTCAAGGTGTGGTCCCACCCATCACTGACCCATCACTGTCTCAGTGCCAGTCTCCCCTGCAGTGTCGTCTGACAGTTGTAAATCTGTCTCTAGGAGTGTCAGTCCTCTCGCTGTCCTCAGAGCCTCAGACTTTCCTTCTCCCAGCTAAGATTCCTGGGTAATTTCTAGGGGTCCGTTGTTTGAATAATCTGATGCCAAAGGGAGGGACACAAATGTTTCTTAAGAACGTCTCCTTCCCTGCCAGGATGGCTGTACTTCATATCCAGGCCAAGAGTGGTCCAGTCCCCAAGTGTTAATAGAATCAGGACTGAAAGCCTTGATCTGTGTGTCTTCCTGGGGAACCATTTTTTGTGTCGTTGATACATGATCCTAATTTTAGCGAATAACTAGAAAGGCAAAGGAAAAGTCTGAAAGGAATAGTTATATTGTGTCTGTGTTGAAAACTAGAATCTGGGTCATAGAAAACTAGAATCTGTTGTTTTGCTTTGTAAGTTAAGAGCTTGTAAGACTGGCTCTCTGGACTTAGAACCACCAGTACATGCCAATTACATACACCCTGTGGCTTGATCACCTGCTTGTTTCCCTTAGATATCACGGAATGAGAAAGGATGGAAAAGCTGGTTTGATAAAGATGCCCCAGAGAAGGAGATGATTCCGGATGGGTACAACGACTCGCTGGACACCTGCCACAAGCTTCTGCTTATCAGGTGAGCACTGATGTAACCAGACTTGGAAGCGTCACCTGCCATACCCCATCATCACACAGCCGACCACAGCGTGTCCCCACTGTCATCAAGAGAAACACCTGTGCCTCCCGCTGCAGGTTGAGGAAGCCATCTTTTAGTCCCTTGACTAGAAACTCTGGCAGAAGAGAAGTATTTTGACAACATATTAATAATGTTGCTTTTAGCACAAACATGAAAGAAAACGTGTTTATAGTTCCTCTATTTACTACTGAATAAATCATTCTTCAATGAATGTACTTCTGCCAAAAATGGAACTCCAGGGGGCTGGAGAGATGGATCAGCAGTTTAGAGCACTGGTTGCTCTTGCAGAGGACCCAGATTCAGTTCCCAACACCCACGTGGCAGCTGACAACAATCTGTAACTCCAGTTCCGGGGTGGGGGGGGCTCTGACTCCCTCTTCTGATGTCCCTGGGCATTGTGTGCGCAGGGTGCATTTATACACACGTAGGGCAAAACACTGATACACAAAAACTAGAAATAAATCATTTAAAGAAAAGAACTCAGCGAGGTGGCTCAGCAGTTAAAAGAACCAGCCCCGAAGCCTGAGGACCCAAGTTCAGTTCCTGGGACCCACATGGTAGAAAGAGAGAACCAACCCCAGCAAGTTGTCCTCTGACCTCCACATTTGTGCCATAGCATGCATGCATGTGTACATGAACATACACACACATGCACACACAACACAAATTTTAAAAAAAGAACTCCCGAAGTAATAAAGAACTCATAAGCTAAATTCAATTTTATTTGAAGGGGAAATAAGAATTTTGCACTATTGAAATGTATAAATACTCCTTTGCCTGTTAAAAATGAAAGCAAAACTTTTTAATTGATGTAAAAGAACATTGTTTCCCTCCTTGTTTTTCACATTTCTGCAATGTCTGCTAGCTCAAGGGGGTTTCTGTACTGGAAAAAAAAATCAATTGTGTGTGTGCATGTGTGTGTGTGTATGTGTGTGCGTGCGTGCGTGTGTGTGTGTGTGTGTGTACGCATTCATGGGTGTGTCTGTCACTGATTAGTGAATTATTGGGACATGAGATCACCCAAAGAATAACGAAGGCTGGGGAGATGGTTCAGTTAAGGCCCTGAGTTTGATCCCCAGAACCTACATTTTAAAAAGCCAGGTAGGGGCTGGAGAGATGGCTTAGCAGATAAGAGCATTGACTGCTCTTGCAGAGGACCCTAGTTCAATTCCCAGCACCCACATGGTGGCTATAAACCATCCTTAACTCCAGTTCCAGGAACGCCAAAGCCCTCTTCTGACCTCCGCGGCATTGCACAACATGGATGCACTCACATACATGCAGGCAATACACTCATACACATAAAATAAAAATAATAAAATATTTCATTTAAAAAGCCAAGTCTTGGAGCTGGGGTAAAAGCAATGGCTGTGTAAACCCTACAACCTGAGTTTAATCTTCAGAACCCACAAAAATGTGAAAGGGAAGATCTGATTCCACAAAGTTGTCCTCTGACCTCATGCGTACACCCACACATTAATAATAGATAAAACAAATTTTCTAAAAGCCAGGTGTGGTGACATGCACTTGTAATCCTCACATTTGGGAGGTAGAAACTAGAAGATCCGTGGGGATCTCTGGTCAGTCATCCCTAGGCTACTTAGTGAGCTCTAGGGCAATGACAGACTCCTTCTCAAAAATTAATGAAAATCAAGGTGAATGGTACCTAAGATACCCAAAGGTATCCTCTGACCTTCACATGCAACCAAACACATGCAATGCATGTACCCACATATACATCAACAGACACACACACACACACACACACACACACACACACACACACGAGGAAGAGGAAGAGGAGAATAAAAATAGGAGATGTGGGTTCTTTGGGTGTAGTCTTTTTCTTCCCTTTGTTATATGCCTGCACTTGCCCTTAGGAAAAGTTGTTTCCTGGATGTTGGTGTGATCAGAATGGTCATGATGGTCCACAAGATATGACAGGGTTTTTTAAAAAAATAATAAAAACAAGCCAGGTGTGGTTGTGGACACCTTTAATCCCAGCACCTGGAAGGCGGAGGCAGGTGGATCTTTGTGAGATAGAGGCCAGCCTGGTCTACACAGTGAGT